TTAGAATTCATGAAAGCTGCTATACAAACTATTAGACAGCACAAGCCTTGTTCCAAATCCTTGCAATGCAGAACTCCCAACTGAATTTGCAACAAGACTCTCAGGCTTGTGTCTGCCCTTTGCACACTTCTAACTTTTGAATCTATACTGGAAATTGTATTATGAGAATTGTGTGTAAGATGAAGAGTAAAGGAGACTTAATTTGCCAGCACTCAATAAAAAAGGAATCCTTTAAATCCTGGTTTATGGGAGATCCACTGCATTTCAGATAACAATGTGCTGTGGAAGTGACTTTGTGACTCCATAGCCAAAAAACAAAGCCTTTGAACACTCCTTCCTTGCTGTCTCAGCGTCCAGTGAGAACCAAGCTTGAACAGGAGGGCAATGAAAATTACCTTTAGTAGATGCCATCTGCAAGATGTTTGTGGGAAGGTGTGACATCAATTGTGAGAAATGAGGATGGGGAGGATCCTCAAATGGCTTAACAAAAAACACAGTGAACAAGTTGCTTTGGCACAGCTGAAATCAAAGGTATCTGAAGCTTGGAAGGCATATTCAGGCCCCCACACTTTCTCTCACTCCCTGAAAGGGTGGCTTTACTAGGGCTATCTCCCACACTAAAGCAATTAGTCAGGGGAAAGGCCATGATAGCAGGTTGGAGCAATGCTCCTGAAATTATTTCAGTCACAGGAATGTCAAGCATGCTCCATCACTGCATCTGCCCAATTCCAGCATCAGCCCTTCAGCATAATGAGAAATAACAATTCACCACAAATCGTAAAAATGTAATGGGCTATAAATGTCAGAGATGTAGAATGGAGAAATAACTGACTCTGCAAACCAACATCATTCTACAGCAGGGTAGGCAACCTATGGTACGCGTGCCGAAGGTGGCACACTAAATGATTTTCAGTGGCACTCACACTGCCCGGGTCCTGGCCACCGGTCCGGGAGGCTCTGCATTTTAAATGAAGCTTCTTAAACATTTTAAAAACCTTATTTACTTTACATACAACAATAGAAAGAGACCTAAAAACGTTAAAATGTATTACCGGCATGTGAAACCTTAAATTAGAGTGAATAAATTAAGAGTCAGCACACCACTTCGGAAAGGTTGCCGATCCCTGTTCTATAGTTTAATTACATACATAAATGCACACAGCAAGAGCATTAAGGTTGCGAAGTCAAGGACTCAAAAGTTAGAAAATGCCAGAATTAAGGTTTTCCATGAAAATCTTAATTCAGCATCCTTGTGTGTACACATTATGATATCTTCAGGTATATGTTTCCCCCCTTCCCCCACAAGAGGACTCCTGCTTCTTTCAGAGCACAGTCTGGATGATGTTGACTCATTCAATTTTTTTTAATCCTTATTCGTTATATGGCTTCAGGCCTTATTTACTGCACACAGGTCAAACCCTGAACTGAATACAGAATTATTAATATCCTCACAGGCTTTTCTATAATGCCCATCACCACAGTGTCTTCACAAACAATGAATTTATCTTCACAACACTCCTGTAAGGTAAAGTGATATTATTCCCAATTTGCAGATAAGGAATGGAGGCACAGAGATTAAAGCCAAAATTGCCTAAAATGTCTATTATTTGGGTTCCCAACTTAAGATGCCTAGGGGGCCAGATTTTTTAGTTGATTCTTCCTTTTTTAGAGCATTTTTATTGTACTTTATATAGTCAAAGCACAGTTGTAGTTATGAGCACTCAGCACTTCCAGAAATCAGACCTCAGCTATCTCGAGTCAGACACCCAGAAAATGATGCCATCTGTGAAAAGTTTGGTTTAAATAACTTGCTAAGCATGACATAGGAACTCTGTGGCACAGACACGGATAGAATTCAGTGTTCAAGGGTGGCATTAAATTAACTCAGCCACAAGATCATCTTTTCCTCTTTCTAGAATACCATCTCCTTCCCAATACACCTTTCAATTCAACAAATGAGGCGGGGGTTCTATAACCTATAACCTCATTCACTACACAACCCAGATTCATTTCCAGAGCACCATTTACTCTATAAACTGAGGGAGGGGTGCTGTGGCAAAAATAGTTTTTAATCACATGATCACAATCACAATTTATACATATAAGGAGCTGAATTAAGATTGCACAGGCAACCTTAATATTGGCATTTTTTAAAAGTTTGAGTGCTTGACTTTTCAACCTTAATATAGTTTCATTGTATATAAACTTCCTAAATTTATTTATTTTTATATATATATATATTATATATATAAAAAACCTCAAAATTCTATGACATGGAGCAATACAGACCTCCACATGGGTCATCAGCAGGGTAGGAACCTTTTAATCCATAGCACAAGCCAACGATGACTGGTAGCAGTAGAAGGCTGTTATCCTCTATGAGGCCCTGACACCAGAGGGGGATGAGATTCACACTTTGCCAGTAATTTTCACAGCTATTTGCTAGACAGCAGAGGAATGCTGGGGGCTCTGAAATCCTGGTTTTAGTTTCAAGTTCTGGAAAAGATTTTTCTCTAGGGGTTACAGCCTCTTGTGCTCCCATCCCTCAGAGACTGTCCCCAACCAAACCTACTCCTCAACACCCTGCATTTGAGTCAGGATGCTTTCCCTTTCTCCTCCATGCTGCCTGGGCACCCGCAGAGGGTGCACTGAGAGCACAAAAAAGTTAGTCTCTCTGTTCTTACTTCTGGTGCCTTGCACCACATGATCCCAGTGCTGCTGGCAGAATCAATGCAAGGAAAGTCCTGCTCAGCATCTACAATCCTGGACTGGAGCATGCTCAGTGCAGACAGAATGTTCAGAGAACTTTGCTCCCAACTGCTAACAAATCTCTACAGATCATGTAGAAATGGTGATTTTCAGAAGCATATAACATAGCTAAATTTGGTTGTATTTTCACAGGTATGACAAAGGCATCTCTCTGACACCATGGCACCCTCCACACATCACATTTCGAGTCCTTGATCCAACGCATGGAGGCACTAGAAGTTCTCAATGAAAAGATTGCAAGAACTTTTTAAAAATGGGCTAAGCTTTTTTTTCCCTAAACTTGTTCTTAGAAATGCTAATCAGTTTTTGCTGAAGCTTTTAAAAAAAACATTTAGTCTCAAGACAGCCAGGGCTGTAAAACAAGTTCTTATAATGGAAAGCATTAGGCAACCTCAACTAGGTGTCACTTCCAACTGCATCTATAATGTCATCTCTTGTTTAAACATTAGTCTTTGAAAAACACTAATCCTAGAATATAAATGGTCAAGCAGGACTTTGGCTGGAAGATCAAGAGAGCTGGACACTGAACCAGGATAGCAGAACTGAGGACACGGAGTTTGGAGTCTTCTAGTCTAAAGTTACTGTCAGAGTAATTCTAGTGCCCCAGCTGCTGAGAGCCTCACCCAGTGGCAACGTGAAGTTAACAGGACTGGTAAATTTTATGGCTCGTATTCAGAATCCTGTGGTCTGTAGTAAAACTGCCAAGAATCCAGTCCATTCTATAGTACTGCTGTTGCTGGATTGCTATAGCCCTGAGCTACAGCTGAGTCACCGGAGCTATCCTCTGGAGAGGAGAACTCACAAAAAGGAAATGGTGCAGGGTACAATAGCTCAGATACCCTCATGGAAACAGAGAGATTGGGGATGGATAGAATAGCAAAAGACTCTCCTGCTTTTCTAGTAGCCAGGAGGGTGGAGAAGAAGCAAAGAAACTCCCTACTCTGGTGAAAGTCAAAGATATGACTTTATATCCCGGGGGGAGGGATAGCTCCGTGCTTTGAGCATTGGCCTGCTAAACCCAGGGTTGTGAGTTCAATCCTTGAGGGGGCCACTTAGGGATCTGGGGCAAAATCAGCACTTGGTCCTGCTAGTGAAGGCAGGGGGCTGGACTCGATGACCTTGCAAGGTCCCTTCCAATTCCAGGAGATAGGATATCTCCATTAATTATTATATATCCTCCCTCCACAACCCAAATAATCCAGAGGCCCTGGTCGGGTGGGGGCAGCACGGCAGGAAGGGTTCTCCCACTTTCCATCTGCCAGAGGAGGCTGGGAAAGCAGCTAGTAGCCAAAGACTGGTACAAGAGACTGAGTCCCTAAGCAGGGCCCAGGGACATACACCTCCCAGTACCCTACCCACTCCCCAGCAGTAAAGTGCTGAACTTTTCACCAGGACATTGGCCCAGGTCTTTTCTGGTCCCTCCCTCCCTCCATCTTTCACATTAACCCCCAGCTAGTACAGATCTGCTAAATTTTTCCATGCCTCATTTCTTCACAAAACTCCCAGAAAAGAGCTCAATATATTTAGTTTAACAAAGAGAAGGGCAAGTGGTGACTTGATTACAGTCTATAAGATCCCACATGGGGAAGAAATATTTAATAAGCTCTTCAGTCTAGCAGAGAAAGCTCTAACATGATCCAATGGCTGGAAGTTGAAGCTAGACAAATTCAGACTGGAAATAAGGCATAATTTTTGACAGTGAGAGTAATTAACCATTGGAACAATTTACCAAGGGTCATGGTGGATTCTCCAAAACTGACAATTTTTGAAATAAGATTGGATATTTTTCTAAAAGATCTGCTCCAGGAATTATTTTGGGAAAGTTTTATGATCTGTGTTATACAGCAGGTCAGACTAAGTGATCACAATAGTCCCTTCTGGCCTTGGAGTCCATGAATCTCCCCATTTTGCCCCGTTTTATGCACCCCCTGCATAACTGCAATGAGACCACCACCAGCAGAGCACAATACTTTGCTGAAACTCCTCCTTGAGCTAAATGGCCTTCTTTGCCCAAATCTTTCCTCTCCCCCAGCCATTTTTCATACCTGAAATGCCCTTTTTCAAGCTTGGTACAAGTGCCATATCCCATGGGAGACCTTAGAAAGGAGCTGTTTGGGGGAAAAAGTTTCCTCCAGTTTTTCTCATTTGTCACAAGAGGGAACTATCCCCTTTTAGAAACAGAGTTGCAAGCTCCATTTATCCAAAATATTGGTGGTCATTTTTTCCCTTACCTTGCCCAGAACAGTGAGGCATGGTTTAGGCTCCAACTCAGGCTGTTCCAGTTTCACAACTCCTACCCAGCCATATTCATACAAGTCCTCTTCATCATTGCTATTACACAGTCCCAGTGGATGCATCTGAAACAGAACAAGGGGAGACGAAGAGAAGTTGGTAAAGGCATTAACCAAAACATTAACATGAAAACAAGACAGTGTTCATTATGATGGAAGTAATAAAATAGTCTACTGGTGGCCTAAATACAGAGTATAGTATAGTATATCAGTCAAATGAAATATCTGCTTGCTGTTCAGACAGTGGCACATCAGAAGGTGAGAAAAGTTCCATAATAGTGCTAAATATTTTTATTGTAGTCCTTACACTTCTGATCTCAATTGTGATTTGACAGAGCTCAGATTTGCCAGTAACAGATGGATTGGAAACCAGTGGTGCAAAACAGTTAGGAAGCCAAAAGCAGCAAAACACTCCAAATGAAGATTGATAGCGTCAGACAAATCAGCAATTACTTTGATCTTAAAATGTTATTCCAGTCTAGAGTTTTCCTCAAACAGGAAGCAGCCCAGCACAGTCCTCTCCTTGAGAAAGGGCAATGAATGAATATACCCATGGGGCACTGCAACAGTAACCCAGAGTATCTGCATTCTCACACATACAGTAGAATATTCCCAGACCAAAAAAACAAAAACAAAAACAAAACCCCTAACATTGCAATAGTGCCCAAAGCCCTCAGCTAGGATCGGGGCCCACCGTACTAGGTATGGTACCGAGATACTGTCTCTGCCCCAAACAATTAATTATCTAATTTGAAAAGAGACCCAGCTAGACAGTGTAAACCAGGATCATAAAAATAAAATCCCTGCAGTTAACACAGGTCAGATAATACACAAGCTGATGGTTCCAGGTTATCTGAAAGAGATCGCTCCTGTAACGCAAAGGCAGGTGCAAATAAGTGTGTGTATTGGGGGGTCACCCACAGAAAGCAGAGTTAAAGTTGCATGGCATGTACCTGAACTCCTCTCCAGCACTGCACATAAGCCTGTCTTGATGTCTTGTGAGATCTGCAACCTTCACACCCTGCAGGCAATTTACCACATGGTTCTCCCAGTCATCACAAACCCAACTATCTATATTCTAATAATCAAATCCCCATCACTATTACCTGGCTCTTCCTAACAATGGGTTCCCACGCCAGGAGGAGTATCCTCAGTGTGAGAGGATATCATGACATCATCTGGAGGGCGGATCTCAACTATAGGATTGTTTCCCTCCACTCCAGCTTGATAGTCTTCTTCCCCGAGACTTTCAACCTCCTTAACAGCACAGAGGCTGTCAGACTGGGTGTGGGACCATTCTACCACGTCCCTGAAAGTCTCAGCTAAGTACCTCACATAAGGGCTGTTATAAAGAAGATGGTGATCTATTATTCTGCACGTCCACCAGGCTAGGACAAGTAGTAATAGGCTTTATCTTCAGCAAGGAAAATTTAGGAAGTTTTTCCTAATATCTAAACTAACTATAAAGAAAGTTAAGCTCTAGAACACGCTTACAAGGGAGGTTGTGGAATCCCCATCACTAAGTTTTTAAGAACAAGTTGGACAAACATGTCAGGGATAGTCTAGGTCAGGGGTCCCCAACGTGGTGCCCGCGGATGCCATGGCACCCGCCGGGGCGTCTAAGTGCACCTGCGTACTGGCCAGCGGACGAGCATCCACCGAAATGCTGTCGAGAAGCATCATCATCCAGAGGTGTCACCGCCGAAATGCTGCCGATTTTCGCAGGCATTTCGGTGGCGATGCCTATTGACGTTGCCGCTTGTCGGCGGCATTTCAGCGGATGCTCATCCGCAGCCACGGTCCTCCGTGGCTTGTTGTCTGGTGCCTGCCAGACGAAAAAGGTTGGGGACCACTGGTCTAGGTTTATCTGGTCCTGCCTGAGTGCAGGGGGCTGGACTTCATGACTTCTCAAGGCCCCTTCCAGACCAATGATTCTATGCATCTCTTTCCTTTGATCACACACATGGGAGTCAGGGACAGGGGCTCTCACACACTCCTAGAGGAGCACAGCCCCTGAGATCACCTCATATCACAAAATCACAGCTCTGACAAGCTGCTCCAACTAATCTCTCCACTTCATACAGCTACATATAATATAGTAATTGTAATTGGAGTGCATGCAGATAATCCCCAGAGGCTCCAGCCGGGCAGAGTTAAGGTTGCATGGGTGTGTATCGTAACTCTGTATTTCCTAGTTTTTAAAAGTCTGTGTTTTGATTAACTTAATGTTCTGGAAGGGCACAAAATACCACTGGACTACCTTAACTCTGCATTAAAGTTTTTTGTGAGTGAATATAGTGCTATAGTTACACCCTCTTCCTATACAGCAAAACAAACACTATAGTTATTTAACACTACCAATGACTTGGAAGAATAGTGTAGGGCCATGATCTGATCCTTGCAGGACACCACTAGAAATGCACCCATTCAGTGATGATCCCCAGTTAACAAGTTACATTTTGAGGCCTGTCAGTTAGCCAGTTCGAAGCAAGTCTACCCCAAACAGTAGCTGGAACATCTGTTCACTGCTGGGAGCTGCGAGCCCTAGTACATGAGGTGTGTTACAGGTGTGACAGAGCGACCACCCAGGAGCTCAAGCACCAAATTTTTCAGCATAGAATAGACTTTTAGTGGGATAGTGAATATTCTCATTTTCTGAAGAGTAAAATATTCAAGGAGTGTCTCCCTAACAAAAACATTTACAATGGGAGGAGGAGAAGAAAGAGAGGCAAATCCATCAAACAAAGGAACATGGTTATTAATAAACTCTTGTATGTAGTGGTGCAAGAGGGCCCCTGTCACAGAGCTACAAGATCGGTACTACACCTCCAGCTTTGGAGCAGTTGTTGGAGGAACCTCTTTGCTGTGCCAGGCCCCCAAGGCACCTCACTCTTCCTACAGGGTAGGCCACGCAGCCTCACCACCATCTCAGACTGAACCTCTGGGCTTCAGCACTCCTGCTTCACACGGTGAGCTCTGTTCAGCATGTCCAACTGAGAGAGTTTCCTGGTAGAGACTTGTACACTCTTTAATGCACCTTCCCAAATATTTACAGTGAGACTCTGGCAGTGATGTCAAAACAGTTGGGTTTACTAATCTGCTAGAACACAGCACAGGAAGTCCACAGGTTAGCATAGAGAAATGAAGGTTAAAGCATAGCTCATTTTGGTCAGCCCAGAGCCCCAGCCAAGCTGTAATGCAACTGCATTTTCAGTCTCTGGCTCTCTGTCTTTATCTGACCTCCTTAGTCAGTTCCCAGGTGAGAGGCCCCCAGTCAGATTCCTCCAGAAGCCAACACTAGCTCCCCCCCCCATACATTCCAGTTCTTTGTTCTTGAGCTGGGGTCTTTCCTCGGGTTCCCTGATGCAGGGTGGGGAAAATCCATCTCCCTCTAGGTTGTTGGTTGCTAGGTGTTAATGTCCTGGTGACTGGGTTTTCCAGTGTCTTCTCAGATTTTCCACTGATATGGAGTCGACCTCAGCCAGTCCTTTATGATGACCTGTTCAGGCGCAGACCTCTCCCTTCCCCATGTCTCTTAGCCAGCCCTGAGACCAAACATAGACCTTTCTGCTGCCACGGGGTAGGCATGCAAAACATGGGGGAAACTGAGGCAAACACAGGCTTCATAAAATATTACAGAAAATTCCCACTTTGTCACAACATGGTACTTAATGAGTATCAGGGAATGGAAAAATTTTGAATCTTATGCCAAACTAGTGTAAGAAGAGCTGTTGTCCTGCCCATTACCTGACTACCTGAGTCTAGAGAGGAGTCTCAGGATATTTTTTGATATGAAACAGAATTTGGTATCAGCAAGGTACAAGCTGTGGTGAAAAATTCTTTACCAGCCTCCAAATAAATTTTTGTATGTAAAAGGGAAGCACACTGACAAGTTAACTACAACTCCAAGATGAAACTGTTACCATACTGTACAAAAATCAGGGTCTTCGAGGGGGCAGATTCTGATTCCGAACTGAGCTCAAGAACCAGAACATCCCAAATGCTACAAGAAGGATGTGGAAAAATTGGAAAGAGTCCAGCGGAGGGCAACAAAAATGATTAGGGGGCTGAAGCACATGACTTATGAGGAGAGGCTGAGGGAACTGGGATTGTTTAGTCTGCAGAAGAGAAGAATGAGGGGAGATTTGATAGCTGCTTTCAACTACCTGAAAGGGGGTTCCAAAGAGGATGGATCTAGCCTGTTCTCAGTGGTACCTGATGACAGAACAAGGAGTAATGGTCTCAAGTTGCAGTGGGGGAGGTTTAGGATGGATATTAGGAAAAACTTTTTTACTAGGAGGGTGGTGAAGCACTGGAATGGGTTACCTAGGCAGGTAGTGGAATCTCCTTCCTTCGAGGTTTTTAAGATCAGGCTTGACGAAGCCCTGGCTGGGATGATTTAGTTGGGGATTGGTCCTGCTTTGAGCAGGGGGTTGGACTAGATGACCTCCTGAGGTCCCTTCCAACCCTGATATTTTATGATTCTTAATTCCTGGTTGCCTCCCTGCTGCACAGAGTTTTTAATGTGTTTGCACCACTGGTGGCATCTTACAGAGATTTATAAACCACAGCGTGAATCATAAATATTAAGGCATCTAAAAACCTAAAAAAAAAAGTTAGCTGCTGCTATACCAGTGATAATATCTATAGAAACAAAGTGAGGGTATTTTTATTTATAGGGTTTTATATGGTGATCACCCTAGTATCTTACTGTAAGTTTTAACCCTAATGATTTTTTTTTTTTTTAATTTCAATGTCCTTCATGATTGGGAATCTCTAACTTTCCCTCACTTCTCCACCATCCTCTTTGCCTCCTGCTTCTGAGTCCTCAGATGCATCCAACACCCCTTTGCCACATCTTTCAGCTCCTGCTTTCACTCAACTGTCATTTGAGCATCTCATAACTATCCTTCTCCATGGTCACTCACCTCTCACTTGACTGCTCAACTAATTTCCATTGATTTTATCAGTTCCCGTTTATGTTGTCTAAATCTTGTTCCATCTGCCACTCACTCATAGGTCTCCCCAAACCCCTGTTCTGCATTGTAGTGTGTACTCTTCTCCTC